AAAATGAAGACGAAAAGAGGACTTCAGGTTATTTTTACCTGGGTAGTAATTGATTCTACCAGAATGTTACCATAGAAACACTTCTATGCTCAGTAAGAGCCCTGCTGATATAGAGTAAGTCTCAGAATGATATGATGAGAATTTATATTCTCGAGTAGGTTCGTGTTCAAAATTCAAGCAGGCTACCACATCCGTCTTATTTCAGACTGATTTTCTATGCTAGATCACACCTCTGATGTTTCAACTTTAGAACGGCAATGTCCTCAAACTTCTTCTCTTTATCCTCCAAACTTCGCAGAAATCCACGCACGAAAATACTCATTCTCATGTGAGAATGTCGTTTAATCTCAAGTGTATCATACCAACCGTTCGTGTTTGTTTCTGAAGCAGGGGTTGACGCTTTTGCTGAGCTACATCCCATGGTTCGTCGACAGTAATTATTATATAAAGGAAATTGTAGTGTTTGTGTAATAGAACAGATGTGTAAGCAGCAATAATTCTATATGCTTTGTATTGTGCTCAAGAATATTTTTCCATTTCTAAATTCAAATTATGTTTTTTTCTTTTTTTATTAAGTTTTCAGACTTTTATTTTGTCGCGTCATGCAGCTAGAAAATGCTTATAAATTAAAATGAAATAGAATAGTTTATTCATATAAAAACGCTTTTATTTCTTCATTTTTTTTTTAAAGAGTTTATCTACAGTTTCTGCGAAATTAGATTTCTTTGTGCATGACCTTGTAATTTTTTATAATCGATTCATTCATAATTTTGTAACTGTAATAAACAGTATTGAAGGTGTTTCTGTTGAATGAGTAAATATGCAACTGAATCGAGAAGAAATGGCTTGACTTATAGTCACTAATGTTGACCTTTTTTTTCTCGCTTCCTTCTCTCATTTACTGTCTATTTCTAGACTAACCTGTGATATTGCCGAAAAACGCTCTGCTTGAAGAAGAGTCCTCAAACTTCTTCTCTTTATCCTCCAAACTTCGCAGAAATCCACGCACGAAAATACTCATTCTCATGTGAGAATGTCGTTTAATCTCAAGTGTATCATACCAACCGTTCGTGCTTGCATTTGCAGCTGGAGTTGACGATTTTGCTGAGCTACATCCCATGGTTCGTCGACAGTAATTATTATATAAAGGAAATTGTAGTGTTTATGTAATAGAACAGATGTGTAAGCAGAAATAATTCTATATGCTTTGTGTTGTTCTCGAGAATATTTTCCCATTTCTAAATTCAAATTATGTTTTTTTCTCTCTTTATTAAGTTTTCAGACTTTTATTTTACCTTGTCATGCGACGAGAAAACGCTAATAGAATAAAATAAAATAGAATAGTTTATTCATGAAAAAAACACTTTATTTCTTCATTTTGTTTTAAAGAGTTTATCTACACTTTCTGCAAAATTAGATTGCTCTGTGTTTTACTTGCATGGCCTTACATTTTTCTATAAGAAAATTGAGATTTAGTGATATATTCAAATTTTTAATTCTAACAAACAATAACAAAAATTTGCTCATATTGCAGATTGTTATAAAGTGAGTCCTGGCAGCGGTTTTTCCTGATCTCTCTGTTTTGGATTTTGTATTGAATTTTTTAAGTTCAAATTTAATTTTAATTTAAAAAAAATTTAAAAAAGATTTTTAAAAAAATTAAAAATTAAAATTTAAAAATTTTAAAAAACTGTTTTTTATTGTTTAAACTTTAAGTTTAAACAATTTTGTATTGAACTTTTACAATGATGAACAATCGTCCAGCTCAATTAAAGGGATGACACAATAAAAAACCAGGGTCTCCTATTCTGTCCTTAAAATGAAGATTTTAGAGAAGTCTTCTATGTTTCTAGAAAAGGAAGCTGTTTTCAAGTCCATGCTTTAAGCAAATTTGAATTTTGTCTTAGTTAAGTACAGAGTAGCAGTTGATAAACGAAAGAAAAACGGTACATTTTGTCACCTTATCACATGTGCAGAATGATAAGATGACAAAATTCCTTTCTCGCTTCTCCATACGCACATTTACGTGTGCTTAGTGGAAAAGCGAATTTACTTTCAACAGGAAATATTTATTATGAATTTTGCAAGATTTACAAGTAAAAAAACTGAAAAATAGGGGATCTTCTATTTCAAATTTTATAAAGCTGAAGAGGATTCTATTCAGGGAGGTCTTGTAATGTCTCCACCCCTTTAGATAAAGAATTAAGGCGACACTAATGACAAAATTAAAACAGTTGAATGAACACGTTTCGTCGTTATTCAATAAAAAGCAACTAATTGATGTATTAAACGAAATCGAGAAAGATACGACCCTAATAGCTGAACACGAAACCAAATCATCTAAGTAACGCCAGTTGATTCATCAACTTCATCCTTCATCTAGGAAAATCAGTCTGATAAATCGAATTTTTAATCAAAATAATCAAATCGTAGCGAAAAACACGTCTCTTCTTTCTTTGCTTACTTCATCTACAATACTGTCAGAAGCGAAAAAATCTACAAAAAATCTCTATCGATCTGCTCCTATTTTTGTTTCTCAAGCTCCATATTACTTTCTTTGTTGTGATAGTGATTCTTCTACACTTTGCTCATCATTTCATTTTCAAAATTTCTCTTTAACGTCTCAAAGAACAAATTTATCGCCAAAACTAAATTTAAATGAACAAATAACTATAATTTTAGGAGACAGTTTATTAAAAGATTTAGACCGAAAGTTTTTATCTGTTAACAGTCATTCAGTAAAAATTAGATAAATTCTGGTGAAAAACTTAACAACTAAGATGAAAAATTACAGTCGACCTATTTATTAAAAACATCAGAATCAGATATTTTCGTTTCGGAAACAAATTCTATCAGTAATCTGGGTGTTAGTAAATGTGCTCAAAAAGCTGAAGTATGAGTAAAACTACCAAATCCATTTGAATAGAAATATCAATATATATATGGTAGCTGTTCCCTTTGGCTCATGGAAATTAAATGAGGGTGTTTTTGAAAAAATAGCAGAGTATAACAAGCAATTGAAGATATTATATCTACATAAATATTTTCAAACTCTTGAGACCGGAGAACACAAAAAAGCAATATACGCAACATTTAGTAAACTAGGCTTTAAAGTAATGACTCATCCGTTCAACAGAACCAACTATACAGTAGCAGAAATAGATAAACCTCGAAAACAGTTAGATACATCAGAATATAATGCTCAGTTACACGTTATAGGCAGAATACAAAAGCAATTATTCGCGAAGCTGCATAAAGGTAGCATAGCGCGCAGCCTGTAGCCTGGGATAGGCTTGAACCTACCCTAGATTTGCTAATAAAAAATCGTTTTCTTTGAAATTTTTCGAGGAGTGCCAGAATATCAATACGTAAACAAGAAAAAAGTTCGAATTTTTCGAAAACTCTTTTAAAAAGTGGAACGGTCTAGGATGGGTTTCCATCGTGCTTAAGGATCTCTTCAGCTGGGTTGTGATATGAAACATGGTGGAAAAAATGAATGCACGTACTTACGTGTCATTGTTAGTCGAATAATAACAACTTATCTTGTTCAAGCAAGTAGATGCAAATGACAGTCCAACCTACGAAGTTTGAGCCATAAACCTAATAAGAGTCACATTGCCATATTATGACCCTGTCTAAAACCAGTCTGAAGTATACCGGCATCTGGGAACCATCTGCGAAAGTAAACAAGAAAACATTTCTCATACAATTGAGAGAAAGATGCAAGTAAAGATATAGGTCGGGTATCTGTAACACTAATAGTACTGGATTTAATTTTTGACAATAAAATCATTTTGGCGATTTGCTAGTGAGAAGGAGAGCGCAAAGTAGAAGCATACACATTAAAACAAGTCAAAATTATTGGAAGATGACAAGGCGGCAATAGTTTTAGTACACGCAAAGGCTAGGTTGTCTCTCGTCAAGAAGCTTGTGAGATTTAAAAGATACCTATGTGTAACATTGTGATGTATAGATTGTATGAGAATCCATAAAACAAATTGATTACTACATTATCAACGAACCTTGTCACTTTATACAAGAGTCTTTTGCAAAAAAACGTTAAAACAAGAATGCTTGATTTGTTGAAGCTAAATTTGAAGATTCTTGGCTGGATGAGCAAGAAACGAGAATCTTGCAAGAATATAGACAAGAAAGTGGACCAATATATAGGTAGGTATTCGAAGAATTTGAAATATATTTGTCATTTCTTGTCAAATCATCTTTTTCTCGCTCCTATATGTTTATATACATCAGTTGTTCACACTTTTTTCGATGTATCTCTCTTTGGTACTGTGATTGTGTGTGCTGACTAGCAAGTCTGTATAAGTATGTGTTACCATTTTCGTATAACAAAAATTAGACGAGGGAGAGAGAGAGAGATAGGATTATGACTTCAAAATAGTTGTAGTTCTTTGTTGTTACTTCAAAATTCTATATGCACAAACAATGATAGACAGTGAATCCATATACGTCCGCCGCTTTTCATGTTCTGTACGCATATTTCACTAACTGATGTTTCTACATTTTTTGTAAATAAAATTTATGCCTATAAAAGGTCGTTTTACGAATCACTGTTTTAATATTATCAATAGTTACTGTGAAAATAAGTGTTAACATGTTTGTCGCGTTTATATTATTTATTTTGCTAGAACAGTGTGTCATAACTGTCACTGGTAAATGTGATTGTAATCCACTAAACGACAACGAAACAGGAAGACACGAGCTATGCTATAGACCAGACGATTATGATGTTAAATATAGAAACGAAGAGAAAACGGTGAGTAAATTGTCGCATGTTCGACTTGGTGCAGTGTAGAAATATCATCAAGGTTGTCATTCATCGCGTGTGTCTGCACTTCTATGTCTTCTTAGCAGTTCCTAGCAGCCTCTCTTTTGTTTTAGGCCTGCCCATATATAACACCGTTTGATATTCTTAGTACGACATACCGTGACTTTGAAAACGTTTATAATCAAGGAAATGCAAAAGAAATTGCACAACGATTTTTTACAAAAGATGCAAAGTTTATATCATTTGATAAAAACACATATGAAGGTCAAGAACAAATAGAAAAAGCTTATCAAGGTGCGATAGATGCTGGTTCAAAAAACTTTCAGTTAACACCATCGACTATTCATGTGGCTGGTCCATATTTAATAGCCACAGGCCATTATAAGAGTACAATAGCTGCTGGAAATTTTCAAGAAATATGGAAACAAGAAAAGGGAGAATGGCTTTTGTTTATTGTTATTATTAATTAACTGCGTTAATACAACAACTAACTCTTTTATTTATTGTGTTGATATGATTTACTGTTTTATGGCTCTTAAATAAAATTACTATAACCGACATGACTGTTATCATCCTCGTCACTATTGGCTGTAGAACCAGAAGTAAACACATCGAAGTCTCCCACAAAATAATCAATACTGAGAGGTATAATAATATTAAAAGAATTATTTTTACATACTTATAACCTTCGCCAAATGCGGTTGAAGTTCTGCATTCTAAAAAACCAACTTCTTCAGAAAACTGTAACTATGTTTTTCATTCGTCCCACATAGGGATCTGATGTAAGTTTTCTGAAAATTTGCAAAGCTGATTTTTTGCATTTTTTGGACGAACAGAAGTTCAGTTCATCTTTTATGATCCCTACTTAGGACATTATTTTTCCAGAAAACATCAAGTCGAAAAACACTTTTCTGCGATTTTCTTCGATTTTTTCAAAAAATTTGCATCAGCGTTCTTTTTTTCACCAGTCAACTTCTTTTTAATCAGCACTTGCGCTCATACGCCGATTTATCTTTTATACCGTATAAATACCATCAACTGGACACTTGTGCATAAAAAGAGATTAACCCTTTACACCCGGCAGTCCCTTCCGAGGGACATATGAATAGATTTATACAAAGAACGGATCATCAGGCCATAAGCTAGATTATTACTAATGTAGGACAATAGAGTAGCTTAACTTTTGATTGAAATAA